TTCTTTACAGAAATATGTAAATAAGTTGTCAGACTCTCTGTGTTCAGGTAAGGATAGCATTAAAACACCACTTCAAAACATGAAATTAATCAGGCATACATCTGACCTCTACACTAACACACTCACACAGGGACATACCAAACAAAATTCCTATAAAAATATCAAAGACCTCCATAATCTCCAGTATCTCTAACAGGAAATCAAACACTCTCCACTCCTTCACTCTCTGCTCTCTGAAAAGCCTGTCCACTCAGAACACTTAGCTGCCCTTACACTGTGTCATGGATGTGTCTTCATGTTAGTGAGAAGGTGACAGGTTTTTTCACAAGGTGCCAAGAACATATTTGGAGAGTTGGTTCCAATGCTCAAATATGATCTAGTGCTCCTTACCTTATTGGCTTGGTAAAACAGAAATATTAAAAGGGGAAAGGTGAGAGGGGAAATATCAGCAGATATATATATATATATTTTGTTCTGTGATGCTGCCAGTGCTGAGTGAAGAGACGTCCGAATTCCACATGTAGATGTGAATGTGCTACCGAGTAACAATAGCAGTTACTGCTGGGTGTTGTTTAAAAAAAAATTAGGTTGATACCGATTTCTGAATGATCAAATACGTGGTGTGGCTAACATAACACAAGGCAGGTTGGATCCATGGATTTATACAGTTGGCACCAAATTCTGACCCTACCACCTATGCAAAAATCAAGATTCATCAGAGCAGGCTACATTTTTTAAATCACAAACTGTCCAGGTTTGGTGAGTCTGTGCCCACTACAGCCTCAGCTTTCTGTTCTTGGCTGACAGAAATGGAACCCGACATGGCCTATTGCTGTTGTAGCCCATCCGCCTCAAGGTTCAGTGTGTTGTGTATTCTGAGATGCTCATCTGCTTACCACAGTTGTACAGAGTGGTTATCTGAAGTACCGTAGCCTTTCAGCTCGGTCTGGCCATTCTTTGTTGACCTCTCTTATCAACAAGGCCTTTCTGTCTGATCTTCTGTCCGCTCACTTAACAATTTTCTTCATTGCACCATTATGAGTAAACTGTAGAGACTGTTGTGCATGAAAATTCCAGGAGATCAGGAGTTACAGAAATACTCAAATGAGCCCGTCAGGCACCAACAATCATGCCACGGTCAAAATTACTGATAGTTGATGTGAACATTACCTGAAGCTGCTGGGCCATTTCTGCACAATTTTATGCCCTGCTCTGCTGCCACACAATTGGCTGATTAGATAAGTGCATGAATGCGCAGATGTATAAGTGTTCCAAATAAAGTGCTCGGTGAGTGTATTTACAGACTAAGGATTGCAGACTAATCAAGAAGGAACAAAAATAATAATAATAATAATAATAATAATAATAATAACAATAATAACAACAACAACAACAACATGCAAGCAGAATATAATTTTGACAGCTAACCAGCAGTCTAGCTCTTGGAACAAGCATGCTTATTGGCTTACTGAGCCTGTTTACACCTTACATAAACATGCGTTTCATGTCTGGATCATATCTGGATAAACTTTAGTCGATTCCACCTGCACTTTTCACTAAATTGTGTGTCTAGCGTCACCAGATGAGATCCGATTATAATTTCCCTGACTGTCTCGGTACTGACTTTGAGAAATAAATGACAGACAGTTTTAAAAGTAATTTGGTAGGTGTCAGAAAGTACTGAAATTTAATACGCAGCCACACTAGCAGCTACCCAACAGGTCATGAAAACGGTGAAAGTTCATGAGAAATACACTCTTAAGATTTTTTTTCAAGCAATGCCATAAAAAAGTCTTGTGGTTCTTTAAATAACCTTTCAATGCATGATTTCTTTGAAAAACTACTTTAGCAAATGTGTCAAAAATCTGAAGAACCTTTTGAATCTTAAAAGAACCTTCTCACAACGTAAAGGTTCTATACCCGGAGTGCACTACTCTGGTCCTGGAGGGACACTGTCCTGCAAAGTCTGGTGATTTACCTATGCAAAAACAGCTGATTCAATTCGTGTTAATTGCCAGGTTCAGTGGCTGTGCTTGAGTAGGGGAACCACCAAACTGTGCTTGTTGTGCACTCCTGTTCTGTACTGAGGAAAGCTTTTTCCTAGAACCACACGTCCAAGCCAATAACCATTTAGGAACCTTTTTTAACATAGCTGGGTTGGAGATTCATGATGGTATGTTAGGAGTTCAGATAAGGGTGAAGCTAAATTTGATCAACAAACCCTTTTCCAGACTATAGAACAAAACAGCAGCCCAGTCTGTCTGTCTCTCTCTCTCTACCCACTCGCCCCACACACTTCTCCACCCATCTAGGTCTTCTGTGTTTATAACACTTGTTTTACTCCCCACTTTAAAGTTGAACCACACAACTCCACCCACTGTGGTCCCGGTGACCACGTCTCTGAAGAACAATACGAGACATTATAGCCTCACTCGAGTAGGCCTGCCTTCATCCACACCACAAGAGCCAGTGCAGGAAACTTGGCATATACTGGTGTTCATCCACATGTCAGAGTTGACCACTGAAGTATCAAACTATCCAACATATGCTAGTACACACATTAAGTGCTGTTTCACTGGTTAACATGCCAGGCTATCCTTTCTCACACATTAGCTGAGGTTTCTGACAGTCAAGCACAATCTGCAGCCTACATATTTCACCCACACAAATAGGGGAAACACCAACGCAAACCAGAAGTGACCAAATACAGAATGTAACTCAAACTGAAAACAGAAAATTCACACAGACAGAGAAACTGTATCCTGCAGGCTGAAACAAGCCAACATTCAATGTATTTAAAAATGACCCGTTGTCTGTTCTCCTTGGCTATTCTTACTGGGTCAGAAGCAAGAAAAACAGGCTGCATCACTCCAGTCTAAGAGGTGAAACTCTATCCTGTGGACTTCATTATATTACTGACTCCTGATACTCTACTTAGCTCTATTTCTGCTCTTTCTAATCTAAGTAAGCAAGTTTTTTAAAACTTGCATCAACACAGGAGGACGTTTATTCTGAGTCATGACTTTCTTACCAACCAAAGTGATTTCCTGTTTCCTGGACCTACACAGGAAGTGGCGAGGATGAATATTTATCTTGATGCACTTATACTTCTCACACAAATAAACAAACACTTATATAAACTTGTGTATATAACAGATCTTCATCCTACTTTAAGAGGCAATCTATCTAAAATAAAAATATACAAGAATATTGCTACATCGGTTTGTAAACAAGCTGATTTGCCTGGTCTTGTAACTCAGCCTACTTGGCTTCTGTACCAAAAAAGTCTCTAAAGTGAGTCTTCCTGGTTTAAAACCATGAATTTCCCCTCTGATGATGTAACTTGAAGGTGGAAATAAATTTGAGACGGTCTTTTTGATTTTTTTCACTAGTTTGCTGAATGGTTCCTTTAACGAAAAAGTCTGACGTCCAGTCAAGGTAAGCGCTATATCACATATGCAGCCTAGCACCACAGCAATGAGGATTTGTTGCGCAACATAGGGATTCCCAATGATTGTGTGATTCATTTGCGTAATGCATGCTGGGTATTGTAGTGAGAACACAAAATCATGTGAACTCTTCCAAAGTGATGAGGCTGAAGAGTACAGTGCTGCCCCCAGAATAATGCATAACACGACGACATATTAAATGATGGTTTTAGGTGGAAATGCCCCCAGTGTAATCTGAAAAGCATTTCCAGACACTGACTGTAGAAGGGGGCTTAATCTTGATACAATTCAGAGCGAGTCAGACAGTCTCCAGACCTAGGGACACTGATTTGCTACAGTAATCTAGAAACTTTTCAAGCTATTAAATAGCCAATCCTGTTTGGAAATGTTTCAGGTATAATTTAGATGGTGTCAATATGAGAACAACAGCAAATATGGAAATACAAAACACACAACAGCAAGCTCTCTGGATCAGCACTGATGCTAGTATATTAAAAAGGTTGTGTTAAAATCAGTTAGCATGTAAACAATATAGCACAATAAATATCTGATTTGTTGCTCTTCTTGATAAAAAATCTTGCTGGTGACTTCGATCTGCACAGTTGCTTGCTGTTCGCAAAGTACCAGGCTGACTCAGTGGAGAACAAAAGTGAAAGCATGTGAGAACACTGTACTGCAGCCTTCTGCAGAGGTCATCACTGCAATATTGATCAACAAACAACATACTGTGGAGCACTACCAAGATGTTTATGAGAAGTGGTCAGTATTAAGACCCAGCACCTAGTCAGCTGTATTCAATGTGTGGTTGCTTACACTGCACATCATGCAGGCCAATGAACAGTCAGAGAGGCAGTACATGCTAAAACGTCTTCTCTAAGCACCCGAAAAGAGGTCACTATGTACTCAAAGGGAGTGGATTTCTCTAAACACCTAATTCAGTTTAATCCTACTGAAGGCTCTTTGTTTATCACCAGATCTGAAGGCCTGTGAATCAGAAAGCAGCTGTGTTAGTGAACCATTCTGAAAACAGCAGCATCATGAGGATGCCAGCTGAGACCTGCTTTCATTCTGCATTACGATTACATAATCCAAAAGCTGACACAGCAGAATATGGAAAACGGGCTGCTCATCAATCTCCATGGCATCAAAGAAACCATGCATCAGTTACTTCACATTCAGTTTACATGCTGTGACCTTGAGGGCAGATGCATGTTTAACTGAGAGCAGAATGAAAAACACAGACGACATGCAGCTGCACTGTCAGAATCAGTGAGTGGCCTCCTTCACTAAAATCCCCCCTAGCAACTGGAAACAGAAACGAGGAGGGCGTGACTGCGGAACTGAGGATTGCAGCAGTGTGTAGGGGGATCCAGCACTGGGAGCGTGCTCGGTACTCATTCGTTGCCAATAGAAACCCAATGCTGACCATGTTTACACACCACCATCAACCTCTGCAACTGTTCTGCAGGCTTACACGTTCACCTGGAGCTCACGCGCCGCGGTGACTAAGCAAATATGCAACCCAAACAAGAGAACAGAGGACAAACCTACTCGTTTTTCATGCATTTCCGCTGGTGGAAGGCCTTATCCAGCGGGATCACAGCCTGGCCCAGGAACACGTCGAGGCCGATGAGCGCGCGGTGCATGACGGTGAGGGTCAGGTCGCAGCTTCCCGGCGCGCACGCTTCGCGGCCTCTCTGCTCGAGCGCGCCGGTCTGCAGCTCGAACGAGCACTCCTCGCCCCATTCGGGCTCCGTGCTCTTCTCCATCACGCACGTGGAGTACTTCTCCTTGCCCAACTGGATGACCGTGTACGCGTCGCTCGTGCCGTGCTTGCCCTTGGCGCGCAAGCCGCGCGCGCGGATCACCAACACCTGCACGTGCGTAGGCACCCATCTCTGCTCCTCGTCCGCGGCGTTCACCGAGCACATGGCGGCGACGGCGGCGGCGGGGGCGCGCGCACGGCGCCCGGAGACATAGAGGGCGGACGGAGGGGAAGAGTGTGTCGCGCGCGCGCGCGTGCGAACGAAGCCCCAGTCCGCCGCCGCTGCTCCTGCTTAGCCGTTAGCAGCTCAGTCTCACGCTGTCCAGCATTATTTTTTACTGCAGTGGCCTCTTCCTTCTGAAATGTACAGTCCTCCCTCTCTCTCTGTTTCTCTCTTTCTTTTGTATTCGTGTGTTTCTTCTCTCGCTCTCTGTCGATGTCGCTCTCGCTCTCCTCCTCGGCGCTGCTACAGCCGGTCCGCCGCCGACGTCACTGCTTTATCCCCTCCGCAGCACGAGGAAGGAAGTGCGTGCTCGCTTTCTGCCAGGAGCCTGGACTTCACTTCAAAGCGAGCGTTTAAAACGCCCTCGCGCTCGAAATCCACAAGCCGCTCTATTTCGACCGCATTTCCTTTGATGCTTTACACGCGCTGGCGAGCTGCTGCTGAGCGGTGGAAGGCGGTGGCGGAGTCCTGCCGCCCTGCGATGACATAACACTGCAGAGGCCCAACGAGCTGAGGGAGGACGGGCGGATTTTTTAGGGGGGAAAGCAGCGAGTGAAAAATGCTACCGGCTCGACCCGTTAGCGCTGGGGCTGAGAACGTGCAGGAGAAAGTAGACGGTGTTAGTTCTAGAGGAGCAGCCCGGCCCTGGCTGATCACATTATGATCTGAGTGCACTTTGGGCAAGTTCCCAAAATGCCCGGGTGTGGCTGTAGAAATGCTTCACATTGCTGGCTCTGTAAAAACACAAACACACTCTCCTCCCTGTTGTGATAAGCATTACCTTTGCATAACACCCAAAACCCAACTTAAATCACTTAGGAACTCTGTCTGACCGTCCTCCATCCTGACGGGAGAGAATGGATTGACAAGTAATCATTCCAGACAGTAAACTTTAGCCTAAGTGCGGTATTTGCTGTATTTGCCAGTCTATATTGAACCCTGGACACCCAAAGAACAAATTGAATGCATAAATGGTTCTTTGCATGGTCAAATGGTTCTCTGTAAAGAAAAAACAGGTTTTATATAGTCCTTTAAAGAACTCTTTTAAAATGGTTCTATATAGTGCCAAAAAGGGTCCCACTCAAGAGTCAAAAACCCTTTCTAATACTATACAGAACCCTTTTTGCTATACCATTAAAGAAGATGGCTCTTCAATGGTTCTTTAGTAAAGATAATGGTTCTATATAGAACCATAAAACACTCAAAGAACACTTTGCATGAATAAAGTGTTCTTTGCATCATGAAAGGGTTCTAGATGGTTCTATCTGGAACCTTTTTGAAAAGAGATCTAGATTACATTGAAAAGGGTTCTTCTATTAAAACAACATCAAGCTTGTTACAATAGAATAACCCTTTTTGGTGCCATTTAGAACACTTTCCAGAAAGGTTCTATATTCTTTGAGTGTTCATGGTTCTATATAGAACCAATTTCTTTACTAAATCTTTAAGAGTGCAAGATGGGACCACCATAGGACCTCCACAGACCACATATTCTTTGAGTCATGGATCATTCACATGCTAAGTGGAGAACAGTGTACCAACAAAAATAGCCAGTCAACAGCAGTTCTGTGGTCAGAAACTGACTGCGGATTAAGGGCTAGATCATGACAAATTCAAATTGTGAATGGGGACATATGACCTTTAAGTTTTTAAATGAACCAAAAAATGTAGGATCTGCCACCCAAATAATATCATAAATATATAATATATAAAAAGTGCCATCCCAGTGTGCAGATGTGCTGAAAAGGTCTTATTCCCCCAATTGTACACCATTTGGTAAAGTTGATGGTCTTTTGAGAGAATCCAATTTTAGCACACCACCAGCCAACACTGAACAATGAACAACAAAGTAGTTGCACATCACCTGGTTTGTTTCATTTTATAGTATTCTGAGTGGAAACATTCAGTTTATTTCACTGAATATAAATGGGCTTCAAATCAGTTTCTATCCCATTTACATGGCCTTTATGGACCTTGCTTTGTGCACTGGGGTACAGTCATGCTGGAACAGAAAAGGGCCTTCCCCAAACTGTTCCCACAAAGTTGGAAGCATACAATTGTCCAAAATGTCTTGGTCTGCTGAAGCATTAAGATTTCCCTTCACTGGAACTAATGAGCCAAGGCTAACCCCTGAAAAACAACCCTATAGCGTTATTCCTCCTCCACCAAACTTCACAGCTGGCACAATGCAGTCAGGCAGGTAATGTTCTCCAGGCGTTCATCAAACCCAGACTCATCCATCAGACTGCCAGTTAGAGAAGCATGATTCATCACTCCACAGAACACGTTTGCACTGCTCCAGAGTCTAGTCGTGGTGTACTTTACACCACTCCCCCACAATGTTTGGCATTGTGCATTTTGATCTTAGGCTTGTGTGTAGCTGCTCAGCCATGGAGACCCATGTGGTGAAGCTCCTAATGTGCAGTTCTTTTGCAGATGTTGCTTCCAGCGCTTCAGCAGTCAGCGGCCCCACTGAGTTTGCATGGTCTTCCGCTTCGTGGCTAAGCTGTTGTTGCTCCTAGTTGCTTCCATTTCACAGTAATAACACTGACAGTTGGCAGGGGCAGATCTAGCAGGACTGAGATTTCACAAACTGACTTGTGGCGAACGTGGCATCCTATGACGGTGTCACGTTTAAAGTCACTGAGCTCATCAGTATGACCTATTCTACTGCCAGTGTTTGTCTATCGAGACTACAAGGCTATGTGCTTAAATTTGTCCACCTATTAGAAATGGATGTGGCTGAAACACCTGAACTCAATTAAGAGTGGTGTCCCAATACTTTTGTTCAAATAGTATATATAGAGGCTATACCATAACTGACCACAGTTCCTTTTTTTCTGTTTATGTTGCGTGGGATTCCATGTTGAGTGTCCTCAAGAAAAAGAAAGTGTCCCCTTTTGAGGTGTTCTCAGAAGCAGTAAGAGAAACTGTAGGCACTCCTAGAGAAGAAAGGAGCTGCGCTACAAACTGCAGTTTAGTTTCTTCTGAATGAAGAGCCCTTGCCAAAATAAATATGGGGAAAAAATTAACCATTACAAAATGATAGCAAGCAGAGGGGGTGGATTTGAGAAAACATATCCAAAAGCAGCAGCAATGTCACCAAGCTGATCTCAGTCACTCTACTTGTCTTAATAATGGCCTTAATTTAAGAAAGAGAATGAGCCAGGTCCCCAGTGAGTCCTCTTAATTTAGTCCCAATTAACAGAAGCTATTCTTAGAGAGGCAATGTCAGTCTCTTCTCATCACCCACTCACTGATCCATATCACGGCCGACACCCACAGCTGTTACATAATGGTCGCCAGTTAAATCCTGAGCCATGATATCCCTCCTCCATCTCTTTCTTTCTCTTTCTCTCTCTCATTTACTCAGTCATCCACTCACCTCTTACGCACCTACCTGTTTCATACACAGATATAAACATAGTATAATCAACACATTCATTCTCCTCATATCACCATCCAATGCACTTGACAAATACCAGTAGACACACAGAGGGGCAGCTGACATTTATGAGCATGTTATTTGGGCCAAGAGCAGCACAGGCAACCAAGAAATAGCCCACATATGCCCAAACCGCACACACCTCAGCAGCGCACACATTCATTCTCTCATATACACACTCTAATCCGAGCAGGGTTCAGTTCCAGCACCAAAGTGCAAATAGACCACTTACAGTCTAAACTGGGTAATTAGATCCCTAATCAGGGATCAGAACCACAGTGCAGTACTACATAATGAAATTCCACACTCCTACACAAACACACACGCTCCCTGACCTAATCAGCTCTTATTCACACAGCCGTGAGCAGCTGTCACTGATATGCTCCCTGTCAGTCAAAAATGCAGACACGCTCATATGCATGGATGGACAAAATAAAGGAAAAACTGAGTAATATATTAACACTGTCAGAACAAAATATTATATCTCCAAAATGGTTTACTTTACAGGAGAAGGAAGAAACATTTTAATGGATGTTAATGTAACAAGATTTTTTTTCAAGTAATTTTGGACCAATTATATTAGTCCATTCATCATGAAATTTTAACACAATGCAAAGGGTAACAGGAGTTTTTCAATTGTGAAAAAATGTAAAAACAAACAACAGAAATTAAGATACTGTCATAGGACCACAACAGTCCAGATATTATTAGGGTAGTGGATCATTCTGCACTGACACTGTAAACCACCATGGCATGGTGGTGTCTGTGGAGCTGGTAGGAGCGTAGCAGGCTAAGCGGTGTTCTGTAGGTCTTTACATGCTTCACTAACACTGCTAAGTGGAGAATAGAGCACCAACTATGATAGTCAGTCAATAGTGGTCCTGTGGTCAGAAACTGGCTGCTGATGAAGGCCGGGAGGATGACTGACACAAATTGTAAATAAAAAAATATGAGCTGTAAGTCTCTAAATGTACATTTACCAATATTTGGTGTCAGCCCCCATATAATAGTAACCAGTCAGTGCTAATGGTTCTTTTCCATTGAATGCAAAGGGTAACAGGAGTTTTTGAACTATAAAAAAATTGAGAAAATGGAGAGGTTTTGTTTGACAACAATGATACTACAGGGTTTTGTTAATGTTTTAGAAGGGACTGCCCAGTCTGTACAGTCCATACATGGAAACAAAGCCACAAAAATAGCCTATTTTGATGTCATGATGGCAAATCAATGCATTTACTTTGAGCTTGCAACATTGTCATATAAAAATGAATTATGACTGTTTTTGGTGCACAAATCCACAAAAATGTAATAATTGTACCTCCTAGGAAAGATCCAAACAGTAGGATATGTGCCGGTTGAGTGGGGCTTTGTTGTAACATACAAAGTAATGGAATTGTTATGTATTTCAAATCTGATGGTGTAGACTAATAGGTTCAATATCAATGGTTTTTGATAAAATCACAGATTAAATATTCCACCTACTGCTATAACTTACTCT